AGAAGAGCTACATTTTTGCATTGCTAATGGATTTCAATTTTTATTTCCTGGACTCTGGAATGCTTTGTTCCAGGAGGAAGCACTGCCTTGCACAGAAATCCCTCCAAAGAACACAACATCTTGAAAAAATGCAACCTGTGACTAACATTATCATCTTATTAATATATATATATATATATATATATATATATATATATATATTAATATATCCCGTATGATTCGTAACACCTTTGCCAGATGAAGAAGCCAGGGGAGCTTCGAAAGTTTGCGTTATGTATTTTGTGCATTTTGGTTGTTCCAATAAAAGTATTGCTGTTTTGTGGATTTGGGATGTTAATGTACCTTGCTACGATCCAGCATAGTATAGCAGTTTGAGTGTTGGACTATGACTCTGGAGAACAGGACTCGATTCCCCACTTGAGTATATGAACCCACTGAGTGACCTTGAGCAAGTCACACACTCTCAGCCTATGAGGATGGCAATGGCAAACCCTCTCTGAAGAAACCTGCCAAGAAAACCCCATGATGGGATCGCCATCAGACAAAAATGACTTGGAGGCACACAAGAAAAATGCACTTTGCCATGAGGTCAGTACGGCTATTTCTGAATATGTTTATAATGGACTTCAGAATGCTTCCCCAGAGATTATTTATTTATTTATTTATTACGACCATTCGGTCAGCACACTTCCCCAGAGATTATTGAATGTGCTGCAGCCTAAGTGCTGAGACCTTTTTGGGGTCACAACTCCCATAGACCATGCCAGCTAGAGGATTTTGGGAGCTGTAGTCCCCAAAGTACCCTTTGTCCAAGTTCTGGGGCTGAGAGGGAGCAGGCAGCCAGCTCAGATTCACCCAGGGCACTCCACTGCAGACCCAAAGAATGGGACTCATGGTCTCTCTCCACTCCCACTCTTACTACTGCAAACACTACCCCATGCTGACCCCTTTCTTTTCCTCCGTTACTATGATTCTAGAGACCAGGGTTCGAATCCCTGCTCAGCCATGGAAACCCACAGGGTGACCATGTACAAGTCACACTCTCTCAGCCTCAGAGGATGGCAATGGCAACCCCCCCCCTCCTGAAAACACATGACAAGGCAAGACTTTGTGATAGGATTGCCATAGAGAGGCAGCGTGGTGTAGTACTTTGAGTGTTGGACTCCCATTTTGGAGACCAGAGTTCAATTCCTAGCTCAGCCATGAACCCCATTGTGTGACCTTAGGCAAGTCACACACTCTCAGCCTCAGAGGAAGGCCATGGCAAAAACTTCTCTCTGAACAAATCTTGCCAAGATAACCCCGTAAGTCGGAAAGGATACAAGGGTACACACAAGACATGCTCAGGGAAGTTAAATTTGTGGACCACAACCCCCAGAATCCCCACGGGAGCCTCGATTCACCCGGTTTCTGCTTCAGGCCACGCCCCCTTCCCCTTAGGCCACGCCCCCCGACCGTTGAGACGCTCTCCCCTCAGCGTCCTGTTCTCACCCCGGTCGGACCCTCGCCCGTCACCCATTGGCCGGCGCAACGTTCCAGCCGCCCACCTTCCTCACGGCTGGCCAATCGGGATCGAAAACGCCGTCTAAGTGCCAGCCAATCAGGAGCGCGGAAAGGGTGAATGGCGGCCACAGGGAGGAGGGGGAGGGGAAAGAAAGGCGGCCAATCGCCGCTCCTCTTCCGGCCGAGGCTCCGCTTACCGGTCTGTTCCGTGGCTTCCGTGGCGCTTGGGTCTCCGGCAGCGAGGAGGAGCGGCGTGTCCACGGCAGCCCGGGCCGAGAAGGAGACGGAAGGAGGGGGCGGGGATGTGAGGGACCGAGGGAGCGCGAACGGGCGGCGAAACAAAATGGCGGCTGGGCTGAGTCTGTTGAGAACACCGCGCCCCGCCTCTTTCCCTGACGTCTGGGGCTCTTCTGCGCAGGCGCGAGCGATCCAAGTCCCGAGGGGCCACGAAATCCCGCGAGAGTTCGAAGAGAGCCTCTCTTTGTTTTCCCGCAAAGGGTTCTGGGAATTGTAGGGTATTTCCCCCCCCAGTCTTTTTCCTTCTATAGTTCAGGCTGTGAATCCCAAGAAGCTGTAATTTAAATGTGCATCTGCACTGTAGGAATAATAATGCAGAATAATAATAATGTAGAATAATAATAATACATAAATTAATAATAATAATAATAATATAATGATAATAAATAATAATACATAACTAATAAAAATTAATAATGATTAATAATGAATACATAATAATAATTAATAGATGATAGATTATAATAATACATACTGATTAAAAAATAATGCATAACTAATAATAAT